GGGGGGAGGTCCACTGTTTCTCGAAGACAAAGAAAGTGTTATTATATGATGTAAACTCAATTTTCACCTAACTGTATAGAGAACTTGATTCTCTATCAGTTTTCACAGAACACACACAATGATAATTAAATAACATAATAATATTTTACGTGGAAAACTCTCAACTCACGAGATTAAAAATCACGACCTACACTCGTAGAATTTCAACTTTACTAACCGAGGCAACTTTAGATTACAACCTATTGTAACTTAGGAATTAAACTCTTAATCTCTCACCTACTTGCAATAACTATATTGCAAGCCTCTTTGTAATAACTCTATTACAAAGCAACAAACCTTGACTAACTCTAGTCAAGAAACTAAACCAAACAGTGGTTTAAATTTGTCCTACAAAAACACTTCTTGAAAGTAGTGTAGGATTACATACGAAGAACAAATAACAAAGACTCAATAAACCTAAGAACTTAAGATATCTTCAATCTTTGGGTCTGGTCCTTGAGGTTGCAGCAACTTTGATCTTGAGAGAGATGATGGCTAGCACTTCAGAGAGAAAAATCAATTTTTGGTTTTTGCAAGTGTTAGAGCAATAAGATCCCTTGCCTCATGTTGATAATATGTGTGTGTGAGGTCATTGGGATGATGTAAGCAAATATCTGGTACAAGGCATGCTCCATAAAGTGACTGTTGGACTGTTGCTTGTGCAGTGCAACAGTGCAGCGACTTTAACAGCTGTAAGGAGTTGATCTGTACTGTGACCGAAAGAACTGATCTCTATCTGTTCCCTCTACAGTTCCCTCTGTTGTTCCCTTAACTGATTTCATTTAGAGTTGAACCAGACATCTCACTAGTTACTCTGAATGCAAAGGAACTAATAGTTTCAAGTTCCTTATCTGGTTCTCTCATGAAGTTTGTCAAATCATCAAAATAAAAGATACATAACTTATCAATTTTTTCCTTTTTGATGATGACAAACTTAGAGTTGATATTCCCCTTGAGAATCAGATCTGCACATTATTTCCCATACGAATCATCCATATTCCCCCCGAGAACCTGTTTCCTCTCTTTCAATTTTCAAGTAACATATTTTTTGTCAGTTGATACAGTGCAACAACTTTTACAACTGTAGAGTTGACTGTACGATGACCAAGGGAACTGATCACATATGGTCCCTATCTGGTTCCTCGAGAGCGTTTGGCAAATCATCAAAATATGAAATAGCATAACTAATCAATTTTTCCCTTTTTGATGATGATAAACTTAGAATTGATATTCTCCCTGTTCAAACCAAATCTTCCATATTGTTCCCCCTGCATAATAGCCATATTCCTTTTGAGAACATTTCCCTGTCTGATTTTCATATGAAGTTTATTAAATCATCAAAACACAAAGACACATAACTTTATTTTCCCCTTTTGATGATGACAAACTTAGAATTGAAGTTCTCCGTGAGAACCAGATCTTCATATTGTTCCGCTTGCAGAATAGTCATATTTCTTTTGAGAACTTGTTTCTCCTCTTCAATTTTCTTCTCCCTTTTTGGCATCATAAAAAAGAATTAGCCAAGAAAATACAAAACAAAGTCTAGCAAAGTTAACTCATGCCACTTGTGTGCACGCAACATAGTTAAAAACAGAACGCAAGAGTATAACATACATTAATAGACGACGATGCTCATTAAGTTAGGGAAAAATAATATTGTAGTAGTACCATAATTACAAACATACACAAGTCAAACAAAACTAAAGTACCACAGTTGAAAGGAAAGGACAACAAAAAGACACGGTAAGATTAAACAGGAGCTGGCAAAGGAGTAAGATATGGGACACTGGATGAAGAAGGGAAGGACTAGGAAGCAAGGGCTTTGAGGAGGCTATCAATGCAAGCATTAACAACCCTTTGATCGTTGGTCAGCTGCTCTTTCAAGTTCTCCACTTGGTTCTTTAACTCTACATTTTCAGCTTTTAGACGGGCAACTTCTTCTCCCTGAGCATTGTTGGAACTAGGTTCCCTACTGGCCTGATTAAGCTTAGACTCAAGAATAACATTATGCGCCTTTAACCGCCTAATTTCCTCATTTGCAGCATTTTGGGAATCAATAAGCTGAGAGTTTGTGGAACTGCTGCCTATTCCCCTTTTTTGTCAACATACCCACATTCTTCCAAGGTGTTCATTGAGAACATTTGTTTACAAGTTCCCACAACTGCTCTCCCCAAAGGGACCTCAAATTGTTCAAAGACTTTTGTGAGCAGGAACCCATATGGCAACCCATGACTTTCATCCTTTAAGTCTACCACTTTCTTCATGTGTTCAACCAAAATTCCAGGCAGATTGATGGGAGTATAGCCGTCCAGTGCCTCCAAAAGAACCAGGTCTGCTATAGAGGCAATGGATTGCCTTTCAACTCTTGGTAGCAAGACCTTATTCACCAACTCGAACAAGATTTGGTATTTTGAAAGCAGTGCCTTCTTGTGCACTCGTTCCCCGTATTGAACAGCTTGAGGCTTGAGAATAAACTTCCTAAAACTTGGGAAACAGGTTCCCTTCACAGTTGAGAGCCATTCAGCAGGCACCCCAAGAATATTCTCGAGCGCAATCTCATCAACCACAAATTCTACCCCACTGATCTTCAAATTTATGGTGTCACCTTCCACTATGAACAAATCAACACAAAAACTGCAAACTTCCTCCTCATAGACCTTTGGACTCTGGGCAGTAAATTGATGAGTCCACTCTTAGAAGTCGCAAATTTCAACTAACTGCCTCATTCCAGACTTATCAAGAATGTTAGTGCCAAAAACTCTCTCCCACAGAACTTTCTGCTTTTTCAATTTTGCTTTCCTTTCAAGCTCAGACACATCAACTCTGGCCCTTTTTGAGGAACCAGGTTCCTCACAGGTACTTAGCCTCTTTCTGAGTGGCCTTTTTTTCTCAACAGTCTTTTTCTTTTTCAACTCCTTCGTCACCACCAACCCCAACAACTTTTTCAGATAGGTTATCCTCACTATCATCAAATTCTCCTGTAGACACCGAATTCATCTTAGGATACACAAACTCCAAAGAGACTGTATCAAGGTGAGGAAAAGATGAAGGGTCAGTACTGCCCAGAGGCTATCTAGTAGAGCTTGGAGTTTCATCCAGGTAGAAGCTGAGAACTCTTCTTGGGCAAAGGGACCAGGTCCTTCTGTAGGCTACCCTATAGTACTAACCGGTGCTTGGTCACTTTAAGACACCTGGTCCTCATTTCCTTTTTCTTCCCCCTAAATCCCAATACCTACATCACAAGACAAAGAATCCCGAACTAGATGTTCCATAGCAACAACAGTCAAAAGAATTTCACCTATCTTACCCACAATAATTCCCAACAATGCAGTATCAGTAAAAGAGGATGGAGCATTACCTGATATTGAAGAAATATTCAGATCAAAACCCTGAGCACATTGAGTTTTCGAAACACTCGACACAGCACAACATCCACCATATTAGGAACCGGCACTCCTATCTAGATGTTATGCTTCGAGAGACGGAGACACAACAAGGATGCCTTTAGTAGCTTTGGGAGACTCAGATTGTGGTAAAAACATGGTTGATTCTGAGAGACGGAAGGCACAAAAAGAGGGTTTGGGGTATTTAGAGGGAAAAGAGGGACCAGTTACAATAAGGTGTGAGAAAAAGGGATA